ATGCTTTCGAACTGCTAGGTTGGCAAGGAGCTGGGACAAAGCGACGGGAGCTCACTCCATTGCGTGGATTCGATCTTACGACTGCTGGTCTTCTGACCCTGCAGCACACAAATGCTTCTGCGGTTTAGCCCACAGCGCCACCACATCCCCGACATTAAAACATGAAAAGATTAAAATTATTTGCTGAAATGGGGTTCAGAGATTTAGTTGAAATTGTTAAACGCCTGCCTGAAGAGATGGGTCTTTAGCTTTTTTCTGAGGATAAAAGGGAGGGAGCCATCCTGATCTCCCAAGGGAGAGTGTTCCATAGCCTGGGAGCTGCCACAGAGAAGGCCCTCTCCTGTGTCCCCAATGGCTGCGCTTGTGCTTGCAATGGGACCAAGAGGAGGGCCTTCTCTGCTTATTCTTAATCACCGAGAAGGCCCATATAGGGAGATATGGTTCTTCAGACAGCCTGGACCCAAGCTGTATAGGGCTTTATAGGTAATGAGCACACTTTAAATTGGGCCCGGAAACGGACTGGTAGCCAGTGCAGTTCTTGTGACAGGTGCATTATATGCTCCCTGTAGCTGGCCCCAGTCAGTAGTCTGGCTGCAGAGTTTTGCACCAGCTGAAGTTCCCAAACCATCTTCAAAGGCAGCCCCACATACAGTGTTACAATAATCCAAACAGGATGTAACTAAGGCATGTGTCACTGTAGCCAGATCCAACATCTCCAGGAATGGGCTCAGCTGGCATACTATGACACATTGTGAGAGTAATTAATGGGGGAAAATAAAGACACAAAATATTTATTTTATAGGAATCTACCCTAGACATATAAGCAAAAACAAATCTTTAAAAAAAAAAAAGATTTTAAAAACAAAACAAAACAAACATTCTTATTTTGCTTTGAAATGGGCAAAGAGTGCAGTTTCTGAGACTGCTTATTCATTTAAATAAAGGCTTTTGTTTGTTTGTTACATTTATATCCCACCTGATCTCAAGTGAGCACAAGTGGGCATACATGGCTCTCCTTCCTACCTTATCCTCACAAGGACCTAGTGAGGTAGGTGAAGTTCGGAGAGAGTGACTTATCCAGCATCACCCAGTGGGTGTCTTCCCTCAGTGAGGACTTATGTTTGGCTCTCCCAAACCCTAGTCTTGCACTCTGACCACTAAATCACACTGGCTATTTAAATAATCTTGCTGCCAACAAATAAAGTAACATTACAAAATCCCATGAAACATGCAATTAAATGCCAAATAATCAAATAAACGCAATAGAAATCTAGAGTAATTAGCTTTTTCACTCATTTAAAACTGCCATCACCCCTTCAAAAACACTGGATAGAAATGTCTGGCACCAGTTGCTGCTCCAGGAAGTAAAGACAGCTTGAACAGACCCTCAAAAAGTAAGCATAATTCTGAAAAGCCATTGCTACAAGAGCACTAAGAGAAAGAGTAGACAAGACATATCTGCAGGGACTGATGCACTTAGGCTGCCCCACGAGACTTGAAATGGCCAACAAAACACTATGCTTCTCACAGCATGAAATCAACTAGTATAAAGACAGTCATTTGCAGTCACTTGTACTTCAGCTGGCACAAGGGTGACATATAGTGGCCACCTGGGAAACAGTCACACTGTGTCAGCCTATAGGGAGCTTTAAAGCCAAACTGCAGAGGGCGCTAGCGGAAGGGGAGAAGAAAAACAATACATACCAACAGCCAAGAGGAGAATGCTGGCCACGAAACAGCCTGCCCCCACGCTGAGATAATAAACTCCTACTCGCATCTCTGCAGGCCAGAGTGGGAAGAGAGTTGCAGCTATAACAGCAGTCACTATTGAAAAAAGAGAGCAAGAGGGATTAATCAAGAGAAATAATCATGAGATTTTAATATAAATGGATTAAGAGGTATAATCAGCTACATTATCAGCCATCTGGGGAAAAAACCCACCAAACCCAAATCCTGCTCTCCTCACCCTCAGTTTAGACAGAAATATCTTCTGTAGAATGATTGCTAAGAGGTTCAAGAAAGGAAAGAAACAGGAGAATAATTTTACTGCAAGGTATGGTGATTCTGTACCCAGATGGCAATGAATAACGGAGTGTTTGTTTTACGTTTTGGTTACATTGGTCAATCTCCTGCAAAGGCTTCCAGCAGGTGCTGTCATATGGTAGAAGTGGAATATGGAAAATGGTTTCTAAGACATCCAAAGAATCCTGACATTGTGAATACAAAAAAAAAAAAAAAAAAAAGAAAAAAAAAGGGGGAATTATTTGCATCAGCAGGGATAGAGGTCGATAAATTAACTATTTAGTACCCTATTTTGCTTATAAAATAAAGGAATGGAATGGAGCAGAACTGACAGGATGTGGTGGATTGCAAGTTGGGAGCATGGATGAACAACCAGTATCCAGGGAAAAACTGCCAAGAGTTTCTTGTCGCTGGTCATTGAAAAGGCCCTTTTCTAATCTGATAGGACACTGTCCCCCAGGATTTCTTTTATGCCAGTTTCACTGAAACAGAAACTTGTAGATCTCCGATTTTAATGGTGTAGGAGAACTTCACAGTCAATTGTGTCCATAGCCAATGGAGGATGCAAGAAAAACGAATTGTGGATGACTCTGAATTTGTGCTTTATTCCAAATAACAGTGGAGGGTGTCAGGAATCCAATAAATTGTAGTTGTACTATTACTGGCATATATGCAAAGCTCCAAATAGTGTAGTTCTGGAACCAGCTGCAATTTTTAGCATGTATACATTACTGAAACAGCGACGTCTATGTTGGCTCGGGCATGTTGTGAGAATGGCTGACAGTCGGATTTCAAAAGATCTCCTGTATGGAAAATTAGTGCAGGGAAAGCGCCCCAGAGGGAGACCACAGCTGCGATACAAGGATATCTGCAAGCCGGATCTGAAGGCCTTAGGAATGGACTTCAACAGATGGGAAACTTTGACATCTGAGTGTTCAGCCTGGAGACAGGCAGTGCAGCATGACCTCTCCCAATATGAAGAGGCACTGAGCAGACTGAGGCAAAGAAATTACGAAACCAGCAAAATTAGGGAGCTGGACAAGGGGACAGATTGTATTTGTCTTCAGTGTGGAAGGGATTGTCAGCCACACTAGACACTGTTCCAAGACCTCTATTCAGAGCATGTTACCATAGTCTTTCAAGATTGAAGGATGCCTATTAATAAACAAAGTTTCAAAGAGGCAAAAAAAAAAAAAAAGACCTTTGCCCTTGGGAAAGCCACAGCTGTGCTGAGAAGCAAGTAGTTTGTTTGGTGACAATGCCTCGTTTGCTCACTAAGGCTCGTTCTTACTTACCAAGTATGAGTCCCATAGCAAATGTTTTAAAATGCACTGGGTCATAAATCCACACATATACCTGTAAGAAGAACAATCACAGAAAAATTAAAACTGATTCTGAAATATGAAGAATTATGAGAATTATCCTTTTTGGATATGATCTTTTTGGCATGGGTTCATGCTTTGCTGGCAAAGATCAAAGGTCTATCTATTCACACATTCCTGTTGAAAGGTACTCTCATGTTACCTAACATTAACAGGTTATTTAGGGTTGTGAAAACAAGTCTTAAAAAACTCCTTCCAAACTCGGTGAATGGGTGACAACATTGCTAAATTTGAAATAAATGTGTGTGAAATGATGTACAGTAAGGTAAAAATCCCAAGTTCTGTGTTTACTATCTGCTTATCCAATTAAAAGGTAAGTTGACTTTTTGCTCACATGAGTCTAGTTAAACATAGTTTGCATCTGAATTAAGTCAGTTAAAACTAGCTACTTGACTTAAATCCAGAAATCCTGAATTCTGGAATCTGGATGGAAGGACTTGGTCTATAGAAACTATTTCCATTTGTTCTACATGATTTGACTCAGTTATCACATATTTTATTGTCTATGGATCAAAAGACAGTTGCTACAACATTTTATGATTTTCTAAAGTCTGATTTGTAACTCGAAGAAGTCACATCCTTCTGTGATATAGTAGGATCTGTGTGTTTATAAGAAACTATCATCATTCCTCTCAATGAAGCTGACTGTGTTTTATTCACCTGCCCTTAGCACTAGAGAACGTAAGCAACAGATACAACTTCCAAGGTCTTGCTGATTTTGTAAAAGGAAGAGCAGACTAATGCCCAAATATACAGCCAATATCCAGGTTCTCAAAATGTTCTAAAATAAGGAATAAGTTATGAATAGTAACTGAGCCCACCCCATTACATTCTGCGTGGTTTGGCTGTGCCAAAACTAGAAATAACCAAGCCTACTCCTCAGCTTCCAGCAATGTTGCCTCCTCTTCACCTCACATTTTCATCATAATCTGAAAGAACTCAAGGTACCGAGATGGTTCTCATTGAATTCCTTCCCTTCAACTTTATCCTGTAAAACTTCAGACTGAAGGAAAAGGTTCATATTCTTCAACACTTGTTCACTGGAAAAGTTTCTGATATGCATGTTGGGGAATGACAAAGCTGCAGTGCTTTCACATGTTGTCTAGGTTTTTATGGTGTTTCTGTTTTCCTGTGGTATGCATTCCCTTCAAAATTGTGAAGAGTGCACTCCTCTCATAGGTTTACTACTTCAATGACAACTAGGTCTATGTCTTTGTATTAACACACTTGCTCTGACCAACTCAAATCTGGGAACATGGAACAGTGCTATTCACAAAGGTCAACTGGGTTGTGTTTGGAAGAGGAATGCAGTTGCATGCAAAGGTGCCTAATTGTCCATCACTCACCATTTTCATGCAATCTGCATTGGTGTCACAAATGTACATCTACGTATGAAAAAAATGGATTGTGGGGGGTGGGGACAACCCAAGATAAAATAATGGGCAGGTAAAGATTAAGCAACCACCTAGTCACTGCTCACTCTTTGTGCTTAACTTAGAGTAAAATGAATTATGCTCTTCCTTATTCCGAGTAAGACTATAGTATGTATAGTCCAGTTGACCAAGGCAGTAGCTTTTCAGTATTTTCAGACAGCAGAAAGCTTGTACTTTCCCTAAATATAACCTTGATGACATACAAGAAATAATGCCAGGATGTAAGAACCACCTTGTTAAAATAGACTAAGATCAATCTAACCATAACCTTGAAATGGCTACAAGCTGCAATTTTGCATGTTTTCCTAAACAGATGGAGCCACAGACTTATAATTCTGCAAAAAAAATGCTTTCTATTATGCTACCAAAAAAATCTAGAGGAATCCAGTCAGACTACTGGAATTCTCCACGTATTTATTACTGGTAAACATTCCAGCCAGGTAATGTCAACATTTCAGCAATAAAGATTACTAGATACTGTACCTCATTTCCATCCAGAAAAACTTGATCTTCATGAGGCTCGAGTTTAAATTTTCTTTTTGTCTCTTTTTTCTTAGGTGTGCCAGGAGTTTCATCCTAGTATTGGAAACAAATTATTAATGAAATAGAGCTCAAAAACATACTCTTACAAACTAGAGATAGAAGGATTTTAGGAACCCACCTAGCACTTACTCATTTGAGTCAAAATTATACAAGGCAAAAGACCAGGTTTTAATTTAGATTATGGTCTTCAACCTAGGCATACCCTTACCACTAGAAATATCCTTAAAACTTTCTACCGATGACACACGAATGCAGTTCAAGGAATGTAATTTGACCAGGGAGCTACACAATTGATATTAACTATTTAGTTTGAGATGACTGATCACTCAATGAGAAAGATTCAACTACTGATTGTTCTGTCCACTGATTCTCTGATTTCTCTTAGAACACCAAGTTCTAATATAATCTATTTCTATTTGGATATCTTTATTCTAGAAACTTCCAAACAAATTGTAATCATGCATGCTTATCAAATTTGGATTAAGTAATGTTTAACTTTTCATATTAGACTGGAAAAAAGAATCTCTAATTTTCCAGCCCATCTTCCCAGTGTTTCCCTTCTTACAATCGTCATTCTTTTCAGATCACTGTGCTACATCCTAGTCATGTAATTATTCCATCACTATGAAGAGAAAGATCTGCACGAGCAGTTCTGCACCTGTCACCCACTGCTGTTTGAAAATAGACCCAGCTAAAGTTATACAATTTTTAATTCCCACTGATTTCAATTAAAAAAAAACAAAGTGTGCTGATTAAATACTGCCCCATAGTGCTTAAAGCACTCTCTGGTGGTTTACAAGTTCATTATGCAGGCTACACATTGTCCCCACCCCGGCAAGCTGGGTACTCATTTTACCAATCTTGGAAGGATGGAAGGCTGAGTGAAACTTGAGCTGGCTACATGGGATTGAACCCTGGAGTCGTGACCACAGTTTTGGCTGCAGTACAGCAGTTTAACTATTGCACCACAAGGCTCTCTTAAAAAATTGAAGCACCTGTTAAACTTTCCACTCATAATCAAGAGGATTTTAAATGCTCCACTGTAAATGTGTGCACCAATATTTCTTATTTCATTAATAAATGTGAACAATTTACATGAGAGAACGGCAGAGGGTAAAAAAAAAATCCATGGCATGCTTAGAAAAACCTTTGAAATCTACCTGACTACAGAACTGAAAATGCCTTTACTGTCTTGGCAGATGGCTTTTGCAAGGAGATAGGTAGGGAGACTGCAGCTGAGCTGGTTCTTCTGGACTGTCAAGTGTTGATATCATATCATGCTTTCACTCTGAACCATCTTGCTGGATTGGCTTTGAGGCATAGCGCTGAAGTTGCTGCAGTCTTTTCTGAGGGCAACACTGGGACACTACTGGGGTGTCTCAGGTTTCTATTCACTGCATGAAACAACTGGGAAAAGTCATGTATAGTTTTGGGCTGATGTATCATCAGGATATGGAAAATATCTCTCTCTATATCTTGTTTCAATCTCCTGATCTAGAAAATAGTGGAAAGCAGGTTTTGGAGGAAGTTCTGGAGTGGAACAAAGCACACAAACTTAACCTTATTCCAGATCAGATAGGAATATAGTCAAGTAGAAAGGCTGATGATCCGGATGGATATTTGCAACTTGGCCACTGTGTGGAGAGAATGCTGTCTCAAAAGTTTTTCATCCTCAGTAGTGGTAACTGAAATAAAATAAGTTTTTGACCTACCCATATACATGTTATACTGGATAAGAGTCTGATTTTGCTAAATTCTTCTCCAGTACAGCAGTGGCTTTCAATTCTTCTTAAAATAGAAACTATACTTAGTTAAATATTTTAGTAAGTAGTTCTATTAACACAACAGCAAGAGTGTTATAATCCTCTCTTATAAATCTTGGGTTTCGTGTTCTTTACATTTTATAGCTTTGTTGAGTATGTAAAATTGTCCAGTTCAGACTTTTAAACATCCTCTGCTCAAAATTATTTTTGTTATTTCAGGGACTCCAAAATATTATCAGGAGAGATAGCAGGCAAACAGCAAGTCTTAGGGGGCCCTTTAAAACTGGCTTTACTGCAGTAATTATTTATTTTGCTAAAGTTCCATTTCATTATGAATGGAATGTTATTTAATCCACTATTTAGATCATGATTTAACTTTAACTAGCCTTAGAAATTCACACTCACCTTCTTTCCTTCTTCTTTCTCACCATCTTTTTTCTTTTCTTTCTCCTTCTCCTTCTCTTTCTTAGCCTTTTCTTCCTTTCCACTGTCCTTTTTGCTCTTTCTCTCATCTTCTTTTCCACTTTCTGTCTTTCCTTTCTCTTTTTCCTTTTCTTTCTTTATGTCTTTATCTGGTTTCATTTTCATCACTTTTAGGGCTCGATGAAAAAACTGTTTCTTCAGAAGCCTTTAAAAAAAATCAAATCATAAATTAACTGTAGACTTCTCTACTAGAGTTAATTTATATGATACAATAGCTTCAGAACCAGCATCTATTCTGTATTAGCTTTTTACAGATTCTCTAAAAAGACTGTGAAATAAATCTTCAACATTATATTTAATGGCATTCATTAGGATAGATCCTAAGCTTTGTGCCTCTTTGGTTTTCCTTTTGTAAACCGCCTTCAGTATGTGACTAAAAGATATCATAAAACATATAACATATAACACATGAATACAGCAATAGCCTGCCTTCTCAAAAACACAAAATTTAAATAGAATATTAATTTATCCAACTCATTAAAATTTCATAATAGACATTTGCAGATAAATAATGGATAACATAGAAAATCAACCTCTTTTTATCAGTGCAGAGTTTGACAATGGGCTCAAACCCCTGGTTAAGCCCGAAGAAATTCTTCATAAAGCACTGATGGCAAAAACCAGCATCTTCAACTTTCTCCTTTAGCCACTGGCATGGGCTGCTGCCCTGGCCTTTAATGCAGGTCATACTCATGGCCATGTGGGGGTTGACCCGTGTGGAAAAATACTTCTCCTTTATTTTAATCTAGAATGTTTTATACAATTAGTCTTAGCAGGGTTTCTGTTTAATGTTTTACTTTATACTGTTATGGAATTTTACTCTACATTTATGCTGATTTCCTAATTGTAAGCCACCCAGAGTAGTGACCTAGCCACTAGATAGGCAGTTAAAAACTGAAATAAAATATTTTTTTAAAAACAATATCCTTTATGAGCTGTTTCATTTACTTCCAAAAGCCATAAACATCTAATCTGAGCAAGTGACTACAGGAAAGAAGGAAAGATATGGTTTGATTTGCTCCGCTTCGCACCTGAATAAATTGAGTTTTCACAGGTGAAATCACTGTAGCCGGGAGACAACAATTTGCAGGAGGCAGCAGGGAAACAACCAGAAAATTTACTTTGCACAGATCAACAGCAGAAGCTGCTTTAAGGTGTTAACAAGCTGCTAATTGACAGTTTTCTCATCTCTGTTTTTTTAATTGTTCTCCTAAACCAACTACTGTTCCTGAATTAAAACGTTATGGCTTATTTGAAAGAAACTGTTTGGAGATAAAGGCACTCAACTGAAGGAACTGACACCCCCACAAGTGCCTCTTTACATTGGACCAGGCTATCACATTGGGCAGAAAGCAGACAAAAGTGATGCCAAACTATTGGGGGTGCTCATAAGTATTGAGTCTTACCCAGAAAATATTGAGCTAGGAAGATATAAATTGCACAGTGTATCGGCCAATTTGTCTATATCCAACTGTGCAAAAATCAACTAACTTTCATTTTCCAATCCAAAATTGAACATGGCGGCACCTCCAGAAAAAATCAATATGGAAGAACATAGGACCATAATCAAGTTCCTGTTTCTCCAAGGGAAAGGTGCAAAGCAGATCCATGATGAAATGTCCCAAACTATGGGTGATAGTGGGTTGTCAATTTTTAAACTGGCCATTTCGGTGTTGAAAGTGAGAAACCCAGTGGAAGGCCTGTTTTTGTCTCTGTGCCTGCAAATGTGAAAGCCATCCATGACATGATCACGGAGGACCACCAAATATGAGGCAAAAGTATTGCTACATATATGAGAATATAATGTGAGAGAGTTGGTGCCATTATCCACAACGACTTGGAAATGAGAAACCTGGCAATAAAGTGGATCCCCAAACTTTGAAAACCAAACATGTGGAATCATCGGTGGCCGCTTTGGAACATTTTGCAAGAAATGAGTCAGATTTCCTGGGCAAACTGGTAACTGGTGATGAGACATGGATCTACTGTTATGATCCTGTGACAAAGGAACCTTTTAAGGAATGGAGGCACAGTGGTTACCCCAGGCCAAAGAAGTTCCAAGTGCAAAAGTCATTGCAGAAGCAAATGGCAACAGGTTTTTTAGGATAAGAAGGGATTTCTGCTGGTGGACTACCTCCAACAGGTTTTAACCATCAATGCAAATATTACTGTGCTTTATTGACAAATTTGAGGTAAAAGATCAGGGAAAAACGTCAAGGAAAGCTCTCCGCGGGTGTCATCCTGTTGCATGACAATGCTTCATCACACACTGCAGGAGAAACAATGGCAAAACTGACGTCCTTAGGCTTTCAAGTGATGCCCCATCCACCCTATTCTCCTGACCTGGCTCCTTCTGACTATCATCTGTTCCCCAAACTCAAAAAACACCTAAAGGGACAACGATTTGGGTGTGTTCTGGAGGCAACTAATGCCGCAAATAAGTGTTTACACCAGCAGTCGGAATAATTTTATTTGCAGGGACTTAAGAAGCTGCAGGACAGATGTTGCAAGTGCATTGACTTTCTGGGGGAATATGTAAACCAGTGTGGCAATTTTTTCTGGAAAAAGTTCAATACTTATCAGAACTCCCTCGTAGAACAAATTTGAACGACTGCTGTTGACAGACCAAAAAAATCTCAATTCAGAAGAGATTATTCCAGGCTTCCTTGCACCAGGTTTTAATCTGAATTTATCTGGGCCCAATGCCTTATGAATTCCATCATAAATGGCTAATGCAGTTACAGCAAGACAGCAGCTGCAGCCACACATAATCACACAAACAAAACCTTTCAGCAGTGTGCTGTAATTTTGCTATATGTATCCTTAAGAACATTGCAGGATGTTTGGATACAAATAAAATTCTACTGTGTCAGACTTGCTTCCCTAAGGAGATGCTCTAAAGGCAAAAACAAGCCAGAAACTGACTCAGTGACTACTTCTATTACAATAACATCTTCTGATTTGCTAGCCATAACATAATTAGAAGGCATTTGATACATCCTGTTTTTACCAGGCATTATTCAGTAGTTAAGCCTAAATAGGAACCAGAATGGGTAAGATGGGTGGAGTCACATATACCACCTCCAGTCCCAATGTTTTGGATTCCCTATTTGCACATCTGTGCAATCATGAACCTTGACTGTGCAGAAGCTTCTTGTGATGACACAGACACAAGAATATCTCCCATTCAGACCTCCCTGCTTAGCATAGGGAAGCTAGGGATTAAAAGGCCACGGCTGTACACAACAATATGTTAGAAGTGGGAACTGCACATAGGCTCCAAATCTCTTACACATATTCCTGCTAAGTTGCAATGCTTGATCCAAACACATCCTTCCACAAACAGAAATACACCCCCCCCCCAAGTCTTGGAAGAGTCAGATCCAATAGACTTCCACTGTAGGATGGATTGTGGCAAAGGATTTTATTATTGTTATTATTATTTTTGCTGACAGCCTACCCCGCATGATTCCCCTGAAGTCACTTTTCAATAGGTTGGGAATCAATCAGAGCAGCATGTGAAGTAGTCAGAGACTGTAGTCAAGAGTGAGAAATTAACAAAAATCATTTCCATTCTTCCAGCAGAGAATCATGTCGACAGCCATTTACCCAAAGGAAGTCTGGATGGCAGAGAACAGCAGCATTCATAATGTCTACAGTAACTTTAAAAGTCCAAGCTCTTACCTGTTGCAATAATCAACTACAGATTCTCGGGTTGTAAACAGAGCTTCTTCTCCTTTCTTCGCTTTTGCCCATTTGGAATCCAAAAGACAATCCACAGCTTTCGAGGCTGAAGAAAAACAGAGGTGGGGAAAGAAGCAACTATCAAAAAAGTGCTTAAACAGAGAAATGCACTCATCCTTGGATGCTACTCAAGCCAATGGCAGAATTGGATCAGCAATCTATGTTTATGAAGAGACAGTGCCTGCTGGAAGAACTGGGGTCAGGATGACATTCTGGCATGAAACAGTGCCAGCTATTCTCTATGAAAGGTGCTTACTTTTTTCTTCCTAAGCTTTGACTTAACGGGAAGTATAGAGAGGTATGTGAGAGAAGCTCATGGAATTTACCATGGTATGTGAGGGAAGCTGATGGGAATCTAACTTTCCGTGTCTAAATCACACTGGCCATGTGACCACGGAAAGATTGTCTTCAGACAAACGCTGGCTCTATGGCTTGAAGAGCGGGATGAGCGCCGCCCCCTAGAGTCGGACACGACTGGACAAAAATTGTCAAGGGGAACCTTGCTGTGTAGACCAAGTTCATAGGACTATACCCAAGCAAGCAACAGGATGATACCTTGCTTGGGTATGGCCCTATGAACTTGTGTAGCATTAGAAAATAAATAAAGCATTAGAAAATAAATAAAAATGCCTATGTACTAGAAGCAAATTCTAGGGATTCAGGAAACCAAACATTTGGAGATTTCCTAGCTTTGCTAATGTACATATTCATGAAAATAACACAAGACACCATCCCATCAATGCAAGTTTTACATCAGAACTGCCCAAAAATGTTTCTAGCAGAATGAATATAAAACTGTAAGATGCTACTGTTTCCCCCCATATACATTTTAAACATTATTTTTATTGTCATTTTATCATAATTTTCAGAAATACAGCAGCACTGTCTTGCTTCTGTTTACTCAGAAGCAAATCTCATAACAGCTGAAGTTACCCTTTCGTAAATGTGTCCCCAGAGCTCAACTACAAAGCTAGGGAAATGCAGCTTATCAGATGCTGTAGTTATTGTCTTCTTTCTCTCCAAAACTTATAGAATCCAATACTGGTAGGCATTTTAGGGGCAGGGCCCAAAGACACTGAGCAGAAAAACAACAGTGCAACAGTAGTGCCATGCTCAGCCATGGAGGGGAGTGCCTTTGTCTGTGCTACTCCAGCCAAGTGACGATAGCAGAAGAAAACAGAGCTGCCCAAAGCACACAGAAGGTAGTTGTCAGTGGTCACACACTATCACTCTTGCTGCTCATGCCCACCCAAACTAGTAACATTGTGCAAGCAGGGACAGCAGATGTGGAGGTACTGTAAACAACAGAGGTGAAGCACCACCTCCTGTGCTACAGAAAGCTGCCTGTGCAAAATGTTAAAAGCAGGTGGAACAGGTGCTCCAGAGTAAACAAAATGGTGGTGCTCTTCCTTCACCTTCCCACCCACCAATGGCCAGCCTTGGGTATTGTCCAAATTTCTCTTAAGATATTAATGTGGAAATTGAAATTTACTTACGGTATTTCACAGAAATACATTACTACGTGTGTTTCTTTACTGCCATACACAATTTGCTGTCCAAAACTAACATTTTTGATTTTCAAAGCTTAGTTTGATGGTAACCATTAATATTTGGAACTAATTTGCTGAGTACTGTATCAGTAAATAGCCCCTGCTAACACATGAATTTTATTGCTAGGCACATATTTACTGCACTAACAAGACATGGGTGGTCAAGTTTGGAGAGAGGGCTGAGTTAAAAACTTCTCTGTTATCCATGCTTATCACAAAGAGGACATGGATCATCAGCAATTAAGATTACTGTGACTGCTGTAAAAGGAATGTTATGTATATTATATCACTGAAGAGAAATAACTACAAAGCTATCCATATTTGAATAAAAGTAAATACAGTACATGCTACCAAGTTATATAGTCTGGCAATGTATCTATTACATAGGGCTGTGACCACAGGTTTTTGAGCCAAATTTTAATTTTCTACTTGTTTCTCAGCAAAAGGCAAGGATAAATGTGTGATTTCTACTATTAATGGCCTAAATATCAGAACAGCTGTAAGTGAGGTAACCTCATTATTTGGATAAAGTATAAACCTTACCAATGAAATAGTCAACTCTGTGACCCATCATGTTGGTAGATTTGGTAGGGCAGTTAAAACGCAAGTATTTAGCGACTGCCTTTTCTTCTTTGAATGGCTCACCCACTTCCTTTAAGAAAAATAGAGAACAAATGAATTTTAAACTCAAAATTGTTTCATGAATAATTTCTACAGATGGTTAGACACATGAAACATAATGTATGCATACAACCAATCCACTGCACTATTGTGAAGCAAATATTCCAGGTGATCAAGAGGTGTTCCAAGAATGGGACAAAGGTAAGGTAAGTATAACTCGTAGGCATTACAATTGGCAGTTTAGTACTAAAAAAATTCATTCCAAAGCACAGTGTCATGTTAGAAGACATCAGACCTCTTTCTTCTCTCCTCCCCACCTAGAAATCCTTAATGCACATCAAATCTGGGACATCATAGGTGTTAGTTCACAAGAATATATTCATCATTTGATGGTTTCTATCATGTGATGATTTGCATGTATGAGTAAGCCATCAAAGACCAAACACCAAAACACAACTTTTCATCACACCTCAAGCACAATATTCTAATTCAAAGATTAGGCTCACTGTCTTTTAGTACTGAGTACTAAGAAAATAACTATTATTTGTGTAAACTGCCCCATATAGTCATCAACTCTTTAATATCAGAATTAAATCTTAATTCACAAAGACTGCCAAGCCTCAAAAAAGTATAGAAAATAATGATAAAGATTACAAAAATTCCTGAAATTGCTTGACTGCATTGTACGTTTTCATAAGAAAAAAACTATATTCTGATGAAATAGTTCCTTGTTTGAAATATTCTTGCCTTGGAATTCAGAAGTTAAAATTGGGAGACCAAATGGATTCTCATTAGTGGGCTGTTATTGGTGAGCCAGTTAGTGACAAATATATAAATCCAGCTACTTTAAAATGTTTTCATCATCAACACCTCAATGTTTTAGCTGTCACTGCTAAATAATAATAAACTCATTATTATGTCTTTATTTGGCTGCATTATCTGATTTTAACTGAATACTTTATCACTGATTATAGGTGTTTAAGCTTTTTATTGATTACTCTCATTTTGGACAGATTGTGTACGCTGCTTAGGATGCTATACTTCAGTAGTATTATACTCCTTAAATGCCAAAGATATAGTAAAAGAAAGGAAAGGGGACTGAAGAATGTTACTTCTGTTTAGAAATATGATTAAAGTTATCTCGAAGTTCAATACGTTTCACACAGAAACAGAATAGTCAAGGAACCAGAAGGTATAGCAAAGACGTTTTAAAAAGTACGCAGGCTAAGAAACAAACTAAAATTATAGTTCTAAGCAATTTCTGCTTGAACAGCAGATTATTACAAGAAAACTCCTGTTACAGGAACATAATGTCCTCCACCTGCCACATGAAAGAAGAATCATGTTAAGCCTGTGAAACAAGTTTATTGATGGTAATTGGCTTCTTCCGTCTCCTTGCAAACTAATAGGTGAATATAAGAGGAATCCTGCAAATATACTGAATCTCAATTACACAACCTCTAGAAATTATTATTGATTAGTTTAAAAAATAACAATTTTCAAAGCCACAGTTCCACAAGACGTCTGCTATCCATTCAATCTTTGAGTAAAGAATTGTTTAGTTAGTTGGCACAGAATGGAACAAACTGTACACAATAATTTAGTTAATGCCAAAGAGATTTTTTAAAAAGCATGAACAATATACAGTGCGTCAAACAACCATAACTCACAAGCTACTTCTGATTTCATTATTCTATTGAAACAGATTTTTAAAGAAAACCATCCCCCTAAATCCAAGCACAATGGCTAGTAGATCAATAGAGAAGAAGAGGATTTATGTCCAAATAACCCTTTCATGTTACCTTTATTGTAATACTATTTGAAATATCAAATACACATGACACCTTACCACTAAATGTGTTTTTAAAAGGACAGGTCTTGTCTCAAATAGTTCATACTCTAAATTTGACAGACAGCAAAAAAGCAAAGGGAGAATAGGAAAATGGAGTGGAGCATTCAAGGAAAATAATATGTACATCTTTAGTTACTCATACTAGTGCTCACTGAGATGACAAACCTGGAAAATACTACATCAGTGAGGGTTTACATGACTGAGTGGTGTTAAATATCAGTTAAGAATTTAGTCTAAGAAATAGGATAGAGCATTTCTTTCACACATTCCCATCCTCCATCTATAGGGATCTTTTATATATGGAATAACACTCCATCATGTGAGCTGTCCCTGAAAATTTAGATTTGCCACCCCAGAGAAAGGCAGGCCTTTGTTTTAACAGGAGCAAATTTAAGTAGATTTGCCACCCCAGAGAGAGGCAGGCCTTCGTTTTAATAGGAGGTACAATCAAATTATGTTAAAATAAATTAAAACAGAAACAGAAGTTATGCCCAACAATAACTTCACAAAATTTAGATTTGCCACCCCAGAGAAAGGCAGGCCTTTGTTTTAACAGGAGGTACAATCAAATCATGTTAAAATAAATTAAAACAGAAACAGAAGTTATGCCCAACAATAACTTCACAATGGGAGATAAACAATTAGAAAGTAAAACCATGTATTTTCTAGGCTCCCACTCCATTAGTAAAATAAAGTGACCAGAATCTTAGTGGTTATTTGCTCAAGGCTTGTGTATCGTGCTATGCGGTTAACTGACAAAATCCCACGGCATATCATGATTGCAGAATCAGGCATGTACCATCCACACACCTCAAGATGAGCCCTGGCACCTATTCAATTAGCCATGGCAAGTTATGCAAACCTTATGCCAACAATGATAGGATTTTAACCAGTGCATACATTTTAAAAGCAAATAAAGAAACTTATTTCACGTGTCTTCAAAGGAAACACCAATAGCATTTCCTCTTTTTCTGATTAATAGAAAACAAAGCAATAAATCATCAAACTAAGCCAGAAATTATTCAACAACACTGCAATTGTAAGACTAAATGGCAGCCAAGAATTATTCAACTTAAACAACACTGCAATTGTAAGACTAAATGGCAACAGTTGGTGAGCCATCACAATATTAAGTATAAAACAAAGCTCCAGTCATGCACCTAGACTTTACTCCTAGCCCTAACTAAAGTGGTGAGTAAGGAATTAAAGGAAGTATTTCCTACTGCAAGCATTTATAATAAACAAATAATAATCAGAGTTAGAATACCATCACTAGTTTGATGTGACAACAGCTATGACATTCACAATACCAAAAGCAACTGGCACATTAAATTGGAAACACTCTCCATATGACCCACAACTAACAAATGCTCCAACTCAGACCTGCAGTCATGTACAAACATTAAGACATGAGGGAAATGCTCTGGAATACACATTCATAAAAAATATTCTCCACAGGACTGAACATTATGCACCCCCAAATAAAAAACCACCTCGACCCAAATTACTAACCAGGTCATTTCCACACAGATCAGGAGGAAGCTGTGGACAGAATGGAGGAATGTCTTCTGGACTGCCATCTTCATATTCCCACATGAAGCCTTTGCACAAAAACGAAGCAGTGGGAGAGACACTTAAACCTTACTCTCTACCAAACAGGGATTTGCTCTTAATGCTGTAGAACAGAGACTAGTAGAAGCCTCAAGGAAGGAGTGGAAGACTGTAGCTTTCGTGTGAGAGGCAGTACTGGTAAGGAAGTATTATGTAAATGAAGAAGCAATGTTGTCACATCTTGAAATTCTTACACATTCACTTCGGTATGCTAACATCCTTTTTTGCTAGAAGGCTGCTCAGAAATAGTGCAACAGGAGCATATAGTTAAAACAGTAGCTATTTCTGTTAATCAAGAAAGTTTTAAAGGCTTAAAATACATTTGCTTTCAAGATATCTGAAACATGTGATTATGTTTGTGTATTAGGGGTTGGGCAGCTTGCTGTGTGCAAATGATCATACTGAAAGTATAGGTAATTATCAACTTATACTAGACCAGGGAGGGTAATATGGTATAGGTAATTATCGACTTATACTAGACCAGGGAGGGTAATATGTAGCCTACAAGCAGCTTGAAATCCAGCTGCCTGGTTTTGCAACCCACAGAAATAGTTCACTACAAAACAAAACAAAACCCATATCATTCTAATTAACAGGATAAAATCATCTTGTCTACTGCAGCAGTTTCTCCTTTGTTCTGATACGTTGTCTGATACCTATATACTAGAAGGGAGGTCAAACATGTATATTTGTCCATCACTGTTACAGCAGTTCAAGATTAGTTTGCCTGATATGGCTCCATCTTACGGAATTCTGGGATTTGCAGTTTGGTTGACTACAGTACTTAAGATCCTATGACAAAAAGCTCTAATGCATCCCTCTGAACAATGTAGAGATAAGCATACATGTTGCTTATAATATATTGCATCATTACACACTGCTTAATATATATTGTGTAAGGACTGGGTGGTTTTGCAACTATATGATGAGAAAGAAAATTAGATTAAATAACATTATTTCCAATAATATTTCTCTCTTTTCAAATTACAGTCTCCTTCCTTCCTTCCTTTTTGTTACACAAGCTCCTTCTCTAATCTTTCTCTACTGTTTCAGGATCATGGCTTGCTGTTCTGTTTAAGATTTTTGAAGAACAATGATACTTAAGTTTTATTATTAATTGTACCATTCGAGGCAAGATTATTATTAATCCTCAGCGTCCCTATCAGCAACACCAATAAAAGTGGGAGTGAGTTGTTTATGGGAATCACAGAATTAGTACAGGTATCTGTAGAGAACTGTCTAACTAAAACCTATGCCCCTAGTTTTCTTATTCAAAGGCTGTTTCCCTCCATATCACATATATGTCCACACTGCCATTAACTGGGCTACTACCGTAGAAGAAATCAGTTGTTGAAAGTAAACTTATTGGCCACACAGCCATTAACTGGGCTACTACCGTAGAAATCAGTTGTTGAAAGTAAACTTATTGCAACTATTGAACATACATTGTTAATTTATTTTGCTTTCAAACATACGAGGCTTCACTTTCCTTAAAGAACAGAATTCATGATTTTAAAACATGACTCACTCCATTCTTATATTACTTTAGACGAGTTGCTTTGTGGATGGCACTTAGTATCGATTGCATAAGCAAGAACAGAAGGACAGACTGTGCTTATTAGCTACTTGCATCAGTAACAATGTTAAACTGACCTAAAACAATGCTTCAAGTTCTCTCTGAATAAAGTACAAGAAATACAACAGTACAGAATAGCCTAATACTTGTAATGGATGGCTGCTTTCTGAAACCTTACTATAACCAGAGTTTCCACACTCTAATTCCGGAAAGGTTCTGAAGTTGTCATATATTGCTAATGAACCTGAACCCATGTCTGCAGTCAGAATAAGTAAAGTTTTGCTGGTACAATACTAGCCAGTGGCTTCTTGGCATTACAGTGCGTTATCTGCTCTGCTTTTCCATCTCCATATTCGATTTGGAAGAGGTGTTCAGCTACACTTGCTGACCATTCTCAACATGTTCATTGAGCATTATTGCGCTTGTGTCAGAAGAGAGTGAACTAACAAGTCACCTTCAAGTTTAGGCAAAGACCCACTTGCCACTACCAGCCTATCCAGGCCATCTAGTTCCCAGGTGATAGGACTTCCAATGCTGGTAGCATCTGGATTCCTATAAATTTAAGAGGTGAAAATATAGCATGTTTATATAAAATGGAAATTAAGATTTTCTATTAAATCTTACAGTCCATGGGGTCGCAAAGAGTCAGACACAACTTAACGACTAAACAACAACATATGCCCTTTATTCAGGTACAGATTGGGTCAGAAGGTTTCCATGCACCTCTAGTTTTTATTGCTAACGCATTAGTCTGGTGGGTACCTTTGTGTTACAATCTATAAGGAAAATATAAGGAGAAACATTGACTGAAATCCTGTTATGTAGCATAGTAAGTTACAATTAGAGGAGGCTCTAATTAATGGAACTTAAAATGGATTAATTAAATCTTCACTGATTCAGTAGGCCAACTCTAGTTGTTCTGCTGAGGTTTTATATACTGGATTGTGTAGGTTTCATTCTAGAAGTTTCTAATGGATTGCTTGCATATGACATCTGCATTAAGGAGGGAAGAGAGCAATGCTAACAATTGTGATTGATCTCAAATTTATGATTGCACTGTACAAAAAAGATAAAACAGGTGGGGAAGATAAGAAAATATTTCTTGAAACTGTTTCATGTTCACATATATTATACAACTGAGGAGAAGGTTCTGTTGGTCTAATACAGATCTTACTTATATGGGCAGATATTCTACAAAGCATCTTTTAAACTTGATCAACTACTGATTTGTACCCATATTATGATAATTTAGAGTTAGAAACAAATTAAAGTAGTTGAACCGTTGTTAGTACTTTTATTACACTGTTTTGTCCCAAAGAGAGGATGTTAAATTCTGCTAGATTTCCAGGATAATATGTTGCTGTTGTTCAGTCTTTAAGTCATGTCTGACTCTTTGTGATCCCATGGACCAGAGCATGCCAGGCCCTCCTGTCTTCCACTGCCTCCCGGAGTTGGGTCAAATTCATGTTGGTAACTTTGGTGACACTGTCCATCCATCTCGCCCTCTGACGTCCCCTTTTCCTCTTGCCTTCACACTTTCCCAACATCAGGTTCTTTTCCAGGGAGTCTTCTCTTCTCATCAGATGGCCAAAGTACTGGAACCTCAGCTTCAGGATCTGTCCTTCCAGTGAGCACTCAGGGTTGATTTCCTTCAAAATGGATAGGTTTGTTCTCTTTGCAGTCCAGGGACTCTCAAGAGTCTCCTCCAGCACCACAATTCAAAAGCATCAGTTCTTCGGCAGTCATCCTTCTTTGTGGCCCAGCTTTCACTTCTAAACATCGCTACTGGAAAAACTATAGCTTTGACTATGTGGACCTTTGTCGGCAAGGTGATGTCTCTGCTTTTTAAGATGCTATCTAGGTTTGTCATCGCCTTTCTCCCAAGAAGCAGGTGTCTTTTAATTTCATGGCTGCTGTCACCATCTGCAGTGATCATGGAGCACAAGAAGGTAAAATCTGTCACTGCCTCCATATCTTCCCCTTCTATTTCCTAGGAGGTGATGGGGCCAGTGGCCATGATCTTGGTTTTTTTGATGTTGAACTTCAGACCATGTTTTGCGCTCTCCTCTTTCACCCTCATTAAGAGGTTCCTTAATTCTTCCTCACTTTCTGCCATCAGAGGGGTATCATCTGCATATCGGAGATTGTTGATATTTCTTCTGGCAATCTTAATTCCGTTTGGGATTCGTCCAGTCCAGTCTTTCGCATGATGATGCATATAAGTTAAATAAGCGAGGAGACAATATACTGTACAGCCTTGTTGTACTCCTTTCCCAATTTTGAACCAATCAGTTGTTCTATATCCAGTTCTAACTGTTGCCTCCTATCTCACATATAGATTTCTCAAGAGATATATAAGGTGGTCAGGCATTCCTATTTCTTTAAGAACTTGCCATAGTTCGTTGTGGTCCACACAGTCAAAGGCTTTTGCGTAGTCAATGAAGCAGAATATAGGATAATATACTAGACTATATGGTGTTTCAGGTGCACAAAAAGGAAGCCCACAGACTACTTAACTCCATCTTCTACGGTAGTTACTGAATATGCTTGCATCTTTAGGAAGAATATGCATCAATAGAATGTACATATCTCCACATAAAGCACACATGGTTTGCAAATTTGTCTGAATTATTCTCAGGAAGACAGAGGACAGGCACATTAGATGAAAATGTTTCAGTATTCATTTCCCATATTCTGTGGAGTATATGCTGAATACTGTATATGGGGTTAAATTCAATGGGTATCATATGTTTTGGGTATCATACTCCTCTCCCATAGCCTTTTCTGTTGGTCATTAACCAGCTTGGACGGCTTCTCAGCCCTCTCGAACCAGCTTGGGATACATATGGAATGCTGCACTAGGGGAGGGGGATACCCCCAGTTTCACTGGATTCCACAACTGTGCTAAAAGTCACTAGATATTGCCCATAGAACAAAATCCATGAAAACATTATCAACCTAATATCATATTTTATCTGTTGACAAGTCTAATTTTTTTATTCCAACTAGAATTATATTTTTAAACAGCCTTTGGGTAGTGACAACTTAATATGCAACAGGGATGAAGTTTGCAAAACAAAGAGTTACTTGTTATTTAATGAGGACTATAAATATATATGGGGAAGAAAGGAAGGCCCCTGTTGAAGCATTTAATTTTACTACTCCAGAAGCTTTGTATCCTTCTTGAAATTTCTTTAAGGTATATAATACAGCTGACTCAATAAAGGAAGCCACAAACATGAGTCTGCAAGAACTGAACAGAGCTGTTAAAAACAGGAGTTTTCGGAGGTTGGTAGGATGTCTGTAGGATGGAAGCCACTTGACAGCACATCAAAAAAGATACTGCCTCACGGAGAACACACACTGCACATAGGTACAGGGCATACATATCATGTGCCACATGTGGCATTAGCCTTTATAGCTTTGAACTGAGAAAAATGCTTCCCATCTTTCATTCGGGAAAGAAAGCAAAAATTATTACTGTAGATGACTGCAGAAAAAGTGACTCATTCATATGTTTTCATTACCCCTGGAACATCCAAGAAAAAGCATGATCAAAGTGAATGTGAGGGTATATATGAAGACGGGAGCTGCGAATACACATGATTGCATATGTATGTAGGTAACTGTACCAAGATAAGCATAACTGCGAATGAGTGATAAACTATCATTGTAATGCAACAGGGTGGCATCTACCCGTGGTTATCGAGCAAGGTCCATAGAGTATACAGTATAACATATGTATGATGCTCACCAATTAGGAAATTCTCAGAATTACAGGATGTAAATACTATAGGCATGTATGCCAATCTCTATTTCAGGTGTATGAGAAGTAGAAATTTTTTTTGGGTTCTAGGGATGGTGAGAAGAGAGTTTATCAGGAAACTCCCACTGGGTATTGTGGACGCATTTAGTAATGAAGTGTTGCGTAGGAGGGCATGGTGCAATAAGGGGGATGTGTCTAGAAGAAAAGGCAGACAGAGATGAAAGGCGTAAACAGATGTTAGGATCACAGGTGAGTACCAAAAAGGTATTGGGAAGGGAATTTTTTTTGCATTTTTAGGGGGATGACTGAATTGAAGACAGGAGTCTTGTGATGTTAATATAAAGGAATAGGGGACATGGGCTTTGGTGGTTTTGCAGAAAGAGACTGGGAAAAGAAGGCTTCTGGGTGGAAGAAGAGCCGGAACTGAAGGCAGCCAGCAGGTAGGACAGTAAAGGGGGGGGGGGGGGGCTCCACGTTGTCATCCAGAAGAGAGTAAATGTTTGGGTTTTTCACGAAAGTGCAGATGGGGTGCCAAACAAAATACACCCCCACCATAGCTGCAGAGACAGAAGTGTAAGGGGGTGACAGAAGAGTCAGGAAAGGATGGCGCTATGCTCCGGGTGGGCAGAAGGCACGAAATGTCGAATGGTCTTCAACCGGGTTAGGTCGCCACCCCCTTCGTTATGTGGGGAGGACCAGAGCGGTCGGACATCACCCTTGGAGGGAGGAATTTGCGCCCTCCATATGGAGTTGTGAGGAGAAGGCAGAGGCCGGTACTGGAGGGGGGGGTCCTCAGGAACCTCCCGTCCCGGAGGAAACGGAGCAAGAGGGGGGCCTGAAGGAGAAGGCGCCGTGACGTGGCTGGCGGCCCTGTGAGGAAGGGAAGAATGAGGCCGAGGCGAGGGGAGGAGGCAGGCACTATCCGCAACGGCACGGAAAGGCAGCGGAGGATAGTGACAACCAGGCATGGGGGGGTAGGTGGGCGGTGAAGGAGAGAAAGAGACGTGGAGGAGGTGGTGGTGGGGGGAGAGGGAGAGAAGGAAAAAAGGGAAGCGCGAAAGAGGGAGGAGGAGGAGGTTGGGGGATGAAGGAGGAGAGCGGCGAGCGCGGTACCTGAATCCGCTTCCTGTGTCTCCTCCGCTCCGCCATGTTGTCCCCGTCTGGTCTCCCGGTGACGTGGGGCTCGGCCGGGAAGGGGAGGGGGGAGAGGAAAGAGGAAAAGGGAGGGAGGGAGGCTGGCCAAGAGATGGGCGCGACGCGA